GGAACATTGCTCAAATCTAATCTAAATTTGCATATTTATTCAAGCTGTTGAACTAGAATGTTCAAATATTCTTCAGACAAAGATAATGACAGAGAATTCTACCCTCGCCCCTTCACTCTTGAATGTTTTAATTTGCTGAAGGTCATTAACCAAGCGGAGGGATTCTTCATCTTTATAAAGCAACTATAGAAGAATTTCCCAAGACTCCTGCCCTTTGCTTTCCTCCCCACTCCCAGCCAGGGTAGGGACTTGGACCAGCTGTGACGCTCCTTAACTCGGTGCCTTCCTTCAGGGTACACACCTTGTCAATGTTTGCAGCATGAAGGAAGGAGTGAGCTAGGTCCTGTGATATGTACATTTCACCCTCCAAGGACAGGGAGCTAGGCCTCATCCCTCGGGGGTCCCTGATTGGAAGCCTCATGCTCCTGACTGAGAAGTTGGAACTTTGCAGCAAGTCCAGTGATCCTGGGTATCTAAGCAGCCTGGCTGAGTGTCTCAGCCTCCAGATCCAGGTGGCCCTCATCTCATCTGGACCAGGCAGCGTGTGCTCCTCCCCCACAGCAAGGGGGGTGCCCTCTGAGGCGACTTGAGGGCCCTTGGGGAGACATGCGCCTTTCTAGAGCTTTATCATTTTTTCCATAACAGTCTCCTCCCTTCAAGGTGGAAAGTCCCAGCTGGTAGCTGTGGACATTCTCAATATGTTTTTGTTCTCTGCTCTGCCCCTAGCCCTGGCAGCATGGTGTAGAGCTAAGACACCTCCCTTTTTATACCAGCCTGCTCTTGACTTTTGGTACCACCTGATCGTGCAGTATATAGGACTCCTTAAGACCATGGGACTGGACTTCCTTGGTTTGAATCCCGGCTCTACTTGCTAGCTGTGCAACCTTGTGAAAGTACTGAACCTCTCTGGGCTGCAGTTTCTTCATCTGGAAACTGGCATGGCTTTAATTATCTTACCTGTTTTGAGGATTTAATGAATTGATGTCTGCAAAGCACTTACTATAATAGCTCGTGGTGATGTAACTGTTTGCTGTTGTTGTTGTCCTCATTATTATGGCCTCTCTTGGGGCCTCAGTTTCCCCAACTGGACAATTAAGAGAGCAGTCCTTGCCTGTCTATCAGCAACAGATCTGGATGTGAATCCTGACTACCCTTTCCTCCTGTGGAACCCTGGACAAATTTCTTGGGCTTCTTTTAGCCTTAATGGTCCATCTATCAAATGGCATTTATTAAAAGAGGATTGTAGTGGTGATGAAATGAGAAAATGCGGACCAAGCATGGAGCTTGGGTCTGGCACAGACAAAGAGCTAAAAAAAATTAAGAAAATAAAAAAAAAAAAATTACCATTTTTTTTCTTTTTTTAAATGGAACTTTCTCCTCCCTGTGTCCCTGGGAGGAGGACTGTGGTTTGCTCACATATTTTCCCAGCCATGTCAGGCTCACAGACTCCTAGAATCAAAGAGGTGAGGATGGGAAGGGCCACTTTACAGATCAGTTAATCAATTCATTCAACACGTATTGACTAATCACCTACTAGGAGCCAGGCACTGTTGTAGGTGCTGGGGACAGAGCAGCACGGAGGACCCTGCCTTCACAAGAGGAGCTTTCATTCCTGAGTGGGAGACAGACAATAAACATATGAGTGCATATGTATTTGATGCAAATGCAGGTTTAATCCTTTTATTTCACAGAGGGGGAAAGTGAAGCCCAAGGGAAGGGATTTTCATAAAGCCCTTTGTGTCACAGCACGGCAAGGACTCAGAAGCAGGCCTTCACCATCTCAGAACATCTCACCCTTAACAAGCCCTCTTAAGATTTGGTAATGAGAACCGACATCTGTTGAACCTTCTTGGACAATGGAAGCTTTTTAAGCACTTTACCCATCTTCAATCATTTATCCACAGCCTTATGGGGGATGAATGGGCAAGAATCTATTTTGTAGATGGGGAAAGGGGCAGAGAGAGATGTGGGGGAGCAGGGTTTGAACACAGACCCTCAATTGGATCAGGGCCCATGTCCCAAGGCACTCTGCTGTCCTGCCTCCACGCTGCATTCCCTTCCCTCAGTACAGTCTGCTCCAGACCTTTCTCTTTGCAGGGTCCCTTAATTTACAGATGGGGAAACTGAGGGCCAGAAAAGGAGAAGCTGCCCCGGGCCACACAGAGGGTGGAAGAAATAGTGCAGACCAGGATGGAGGGGAAGAGGGAGGAAAAGAGAAAAGTCTGGAGCAGACTGTACTGGGGGGAGGGAATGTAGTGTGGAGGCAGGAGAGCAACGTGACTTTTTGGGTTAGTGGTGCAGTGGTTAAGGCATTTGGCTACTAACTGAAAAGCCAGTGGTTCAAACCCACCGGCTGCTCCGTGGAAGAAAGATGAGGCAATCTGCTTTCACAAAGCCTTGCAGCCTTGGAAACCCAACAGGGGTCACGATGAGTTGGAATTGACTTGATGGCAGTGAGGTTTTTTGGTTTTTTTGGGGATTGGACCTTGCCTTGCTGCCCTGATTTTCAGCCTCTTGTCAGTGTGTGATTATTTTAATCCATTATCAGTTTCCAGTCACCTCCTGTAAGGAGCATCCCACTCTTTCTAGTCTACCAGCATCTCCCCAGAACCTGGCACTGCACCTTGCTCTTAGTATCCACTGCCATTGAGTCGACTCCAACTCATTGTAACCCTGTAGGACAGAGTAGAACTACTCCATAGGGCTTCTAAGACTGTAAATCTTTACAGAAGTAGACTGCCACATTTTTCTCCTGCAGAGCAGCTGGTGGGTTTGAACCACTGACCTTTTGGGTAGTGGCTGAGTACTTAACTACTGTGCCAGCAGGGCTCCTCTTGCCCTTAGTGTGCCCTCAATAAATATCTGTAGATGAAGGCAGGCAGGCATAATGGTGATTGTCCTCAGTCTTCTCCAAACCCCGTCCTGTGCTCTCTCCCAGCTCCTCTTTCTTTCTCAGCTCCTGTGCCTCCTCCCACCCTGCTTTCTCCCTCCCTCTTTCCCTCTCACCTCCCAGGGCAGGCTCCAGCCCTCCATCCGGCCTGCATTTTCCGGATTTGATATCATTTTTTCCACTCTCCCGGCTGCTGCCGGCTGCTTCTGCCAACTTTCCACAGCTATAGCCCCTCCCCCTCCCACCCGGACTGCAGGCCCAGATACTCAGCTTGGGGTACACCGTCCTTGTACCTTCCCCAGGCTGGGGTTGGGGGAACACGTGCCATCAGTGCCCCACTGGGATGACTCAGGGGTCATGGCTGGAGGATACGGTTCACCCGTGCCAGGCTAGGATCTCAGTGCCCGTGACTGGGACATGGCCCATGTGTGGGGCTGAGGTATCTGGGCGGGGAACTGGTTGGGGGCAAGGGTGTCAAGAGTCCGGGACATGATGGTCCAAGCCTTTTGCATCTTGTTCTTCCCTCAAAGAAGTGACAGCCTTCCCCTCAGGCTGGAAAATCCCGACCTGACCCCCAAGGCCCAGGTCCTCCCCCAGCCAGGCTGGGCCCATCACTGTCTCCTACCTCCCACACAGCCAAGCAGGTCCAAGGAGGAGGCTGGACTCTGGGATCTAGTCCTCACTGGCTGGGTGACCCCTTGGGGCTTTCTCTCTCTGAGTTTCATTTCCACATTCAGAAAATGAATGAGTTGGATTAAATTGGGGTCTAACCTGGGGATTAATGGGTTGGGTTTCAAGGAGTCCATGACCTCTTCTATGCAAAATTATGTTTGAAAGTTTATTTTCCCGACTGTGGATAAGTTAATGGAGCTCTGGTGGTGCAGTGCCTAAGGCACTTGACTGCTAACCAGAAGGTTGGCAGTTTAACCCCACTAGCCACTGCATGGAAGAAAGATGAGGCAATCTACTTCTGTAATGATTTACAGTCTTGGAAACCCAATGGGGGTCCTTATGAGTCAGAATTGACACAATGGCAGTGAGTTTGGTTTGGTTTGGTGGTGAACTTAAGGAGCCCTGGTGGTGCCGTGGTTAAGGCATTTGGCCACTAATCAAAAGGTCGGTGGTTCAAATTTACTAGCCACTGTGCGGGAGAAAGATGAGGCAGTCTGCTTCCATAAAGATTTGTAGATTTGGAAACCCTGAGAGTTGCTGTGAGTCAGAATTGACTCAATGACAGTGAGTTTGTTTTTTTTGGTAGGTGAGTTAAGCATAGACTCTGGTCAGACAAGCCTGGGTTGGAATTCTGGCGACTTCACTTGTAACAGCTGTATGAGCTTGGGCACATGGCTTCACCGTCCTGTGCTTCAGTTTCCTAATTAGTTAAACAGGGCCAATAGTGACACCATCTAGATGCTGGGAAGATTACATAATACTGATGACTATTTAGTACGCAGTCAGCTCCCAACAAGTGCCAGCTATGACCTTGGCAGGATGGATGCTGACCTTTCTTTGGGACAATATTTTGAGTCTATAATCCAAAAAAATGGGTCCATGAGAAACAGCGGGTCATCACACTGACCCATAATTTTTTGTGCCCCACTGTGTCTCTCTGGAAGATCTGAGGCAAGGAGTGTGTATTATTTACCTCCATACGCACTGGTTGGGAGAACGGCCTGAGCACACAATCGGTCCAATTGCTTTATTGATTGAACCTGACACTCAGACCAGCTAGTAAACCAGCCTGCAGCCAGTGAAGATGGGATAAGGCAGGAGGTGCACAAGCCCAAGGAGGAGTGAACTGGACATTCAGACAAGGGTATCCTTCTGATCCGCTTTATGGTGGAAGCTTTTGAGGATGGCCAGAGCACATGGCCAAGGAAGAATTTTTACAAAAAGTACCCATTGCGTAAACAACCCTACTCTGTGTCCAACTTGGGGCTTTAGGCCCCATACGCTGTTCAATTGCTCCTCCTCTTGGGGAGTTCCTGAGGCTGCGGGGAGGAAGTAAGGCCAAGATTAGGACTCTAGGCAACCACGCCTTTGCTCCTCCAAGGCGTCTGCAGAGCCCAGGATGCACCCCAGTGTCCAGTTAGGCTCGTGAGTGCCGGCAGCCTCAGAGCACTGCCAGGTTGTGGCAGGACTTGGAGCGGGCTTTGAGTGCCCGGCGGCGGGCGCTACGGGCTGTCAGGCGTTCCAGGAAGCGGCGAGCGCGCTGACCAAGGCTGGCCCGCCGTCTGGGCGCTGGCGGCTCCTGGGCCGCGCTCTCTCGGCGGCGCAGGCGCAGTTGGCGCACTACGCCTTCGAAGAGCTCTGCCACATTGTGCTGCAGCGTGGCTGACGTCTCGATGAACTTGCAGTCGAACACCACGGCGCAGGCGCGGCCCTCTGAGGGGCGGAGCCATAACCCAAAGGCAAAGATAGAGGGAGGAAGAGATGTATTCAGTCTGCATTTAAACACTTTCTCCTGTGTTCACGCGTGTGTTAGGTAGGCCTTGTGCCAGGTACCGGCCGCTCAGAGATAATTCCGACCCAGCTTTGAGGTGTTAGTTCACAGACTTGTGACTTATACTTGACCCAAGGCCTAGAAGGATGTGTGGGAGTCACCTCTGTGGTAGCAAAATAAAGCTGGGAAAGCAGGTAGGCTGGGACCAGGTAGGGAAGGGTCTTTAATGCTAGGTAAAGGATCTAATCTGCTATGCTTCGGAATTATCTGAGGAGCTTGTTAAAATGCAGATTCCTGGACCCACTCAGCGATTCTGATTCAGTAGGGCAGATTATCCAATAAACAATAAGCTTATTGTATTATGTAATCTTCCCAGCATCTAGATGGTGCCACTATTGGCCCTGTTTAACTAATTAGGAAACTGAAGCACAGGCCGGCAAGGCTCCGGGTTCTAGTCCTTACTGGCTGGTGACCCCATGAAAATGGCTTCCTTCTCTGGACCTCAGCTTTCACATTTGCAAGTTGAAGGAGTTATACTAATAATGGGGGCTGATTAAACTTTGAGAAATGTTGGTTCAGCTATTACCCTGTGGGTAGGGCTATTTATGTGCCCAAGATCATAGTTTACAGGTTTACTTGTGCTGATTTCCTAATCTGTAGCAAACAATTTCACATTTTTTCACCACATCAAAAATTCTGCTTCTAGGTATAGCTGGCATCTGTCTCTCTCCCAACCCCATTGTTGTTGTAGTTATGTGCCATCGAGTCAGACCTGACTCACAGCGACCCCTCCTTGGGTTGCCGAGGCAGTATCACTACGGAAGTAGATTGCCCAGCCTTCTTTCCAAGGAGTGGCAACCCCATAGCATCTCCTTACAGAACCAAAGCCTCTTTTCAAATGCACAATCCTTGACAGTGATGGAGTACCCAGTAAGCAAGGTAAGCACATGCATACTTGTGCTTTCTGATCTACAGTGAACAGTTATACGCATGCAGTTGCCCACTACAGATTAGGAAGTAAACACAACAAGCACCTTACCTTGCTTCTTGGGTAATCTGCCTGTGGAACCTGCATTTTAACAATACCCCCTGGAGATGATCTTGCAGTTTTTTGGGATGGCGGCCCACTGAGAATAGAGAGGCAGTGGTGGCTCGGTGGTGGAATTCTTCCTTTCCACGTGGGAGACCTGGGTTCAATTCCCAGCCAGTGCATCTGGCTGTTACTGGAGGCTTGCGTGTTGCTATGATGTTGACCAGGCTTCAGTGGAGCTTCCAGACTGAGAGGGACTAGGAAGAAAGACCTGGGGAGCTCCTTCTAAAACATCAGCCCATGAAAACCTTATGGATCACAGCAGTCTGGTCTTGTCCATAGGGACACCACGAGTCAGGGGCTGTTCACCTTCGTGAGTAACAACAATAGCCAATAAGTATGGTCTTCTATCTCCAGGATGCCACTGGGCTGTGAGGCAAGGCTCTGGGTTCTAGTCGTTACTGGCTGGTGACCCCATGAAAATGGCTTCCTTCTCTGGACCTCAGCTTTCACATTTGCAAGTTGAAGGAGTTATACTAATATGGGGGCTGATTAAACTTTGAGAAATGTTGGTTCAGCTATTACCCTGTGGGTAGGGCTATTTTAAGATCTTTATGGCTCCCATCTGACATCATATCAAACCTATTAAAATGTTTCCCATTCTGCTTTAAGCATAATTTACATATAACTTTAAAAAGTTTGGTTTGCAGTTGCTGGCTGACACAACGTTATGCATTTTAGATAATTAAAGCTTTGTGGATTTTGAATTTATAATTCTCACTGTTTTGGAGCCAATGACTATTTTTTTTTTTGGTAGGTCTCAGTGTAAGCCCTTAAAAAGCCTGCAGGCACTGGGCCTCTCATGTCTAGTGGATAAAGTGTTTCTAACCCAGGGCATGAGGGAGCTGTAGGGTATTTTTTTAAGCAAAGAAGAGACAAGGTCAGATCTGGTTTTGCAAAACCCTGGCAGCTGGTGAAGTGGACCAGTTAAGTGCAGATAGAGAAGTATGGGGGCTGGTTCAGGTTAGAGCGGGTCAGGGTAGGGCTGCAGCAGTGGGCACCGAGGGCGTGGAGTGTGGGATTAAGGGAGGTAGATGTGACAGGGCCTTGAGACTGGATTGGGGGCTGAGGGAAGAGGTAGGAACGATGGCTGTTTTTTTTTTTTTTTCAGGCTTAGGCAGTAGATGTGTGACCCTTATAAAGTCATTACCCAAGTGGTCCACGGGATAGGCACTGAGATGAAGAGGAGCGGTGACAGTGGGTCTTCGAGGAAGACAGAGGAGGAGATGGGCGAGGGGCTGGGGCAGGGTGAGGACTCACCTTCCACGGAGACTTCCCGGCAGCGCACCAGGTCAGCTTTGTTGCCCACGAGGATGATGGGCACGTGGTCAGCCTGATGCGTGCGTCGCAGTTGAATGCGGAGCTCGGAGGCGCTCTCGAAGCTGCCTCGGTCTGCGATGGAGTATACGATTACATAGGCGCTTCCCACCTGCAGACACAACTCCTGGCTCCAGCATTCATCCTGTGGAGGGGGGACCCCAGGCCATCTCCTCAGAGGATGCCTCGTCCCTGGCTGGGGAAAATGGGGCTGGGATGGTCTAATGGGCAGGGGGAGGCGGAGGTTTATACTTTGAACACGTTGAGGGACAGATTCTGCCGCAATTCCCAGTGTCACCTTGGGAAAGCCCTTCTCTGAGCCTCAGTTTCTCTGCTTGGAAAACTGGGCTAATGCCAGTGTCTCAGTGCATCACTCACCCCTTCATTCCTTCTACGGGCCGAGTACTGGGGACGACATTTACTTGCCCATGCTTTGCCTGCCTGCGAGGGAGGATGTGGTTTTGGCCGGTTCTATTTCTCTGTCAGTTTCTGAGGAGGGTTCTGCCTTCTCGGACAGTGTGGTTGGCCTTCTACAATGCAGCATGAAGGGGAGAGAGGAAGGGAGAGAAGTGAAGACAGGAGGTTCACTTCAGGGGGAGGCATTTTCCAGGGGAGTTTTGAAGAGAGGTGAAAGAGTAACTGTGGAGTGTAAGGAAAGGGGATGGGGAGGCAAGGGGCATTTTAAGAAGTAGGGGCCTTTCAAGCTGTGTACCCAAAGCAAGGAAAGAACTTGAGTAAGTTTGATATTTTATTTTACTGATTATCTGTGGTCAGGGAAAACACTGAGACTGGACCACCTGGGCGATGACTTTATTAAGTATTTTATTAAAACTCAGGTCCTGTCTTCCAAAAACTCATATAGTCTGGAAGGGGAGCCATGGAGATGGAGAATTATAATGCCATAAGTGCTGCTAAGTGGAATAAGCACATTAGGAGAGGCTAGGCACGTGGCTGGAGGAGTCAGGAGGGTGGGATAGGAGACCAGAAGAAGCCAACCTAGGAGAGAGTGGGAGATCTTCACAGGGGACTTGCAAGTTAGGCTTTAAAGGAAGAGCCAGCTGAACAGGAGAGAAGAGATTCCAGACAAAGGGCACAGCCAGAGTTAAGGGAAAGACCAAGAGTGGTTGGTAGGAGCGTCAGTTTTGAGAGCAGAAGCAGCCAGAAGAGCTTTCTGATAATCAAATAAGGTAAGTGGACATGACAAAACCATAAAAAAAAAAAAAAAAAAAAAGGACCAGGTTTGCTGGTCTGATAGAGCCTGGTGGAACCGCTGAGACTGTGGCCTCTAACTGCCCTTCAGGTCTAGAATTGAACCCACTCCTGTGGCTTCCAGCCAAACAAAAGACAGGCATATGAGCTGAACATTTACATAAGGTAGATACACTCCTTGGAGAGATCAATCTTGGAGAATAAAAGGGCTGTGTATGCACAGGGAGACAGCTCAGGGGGCAGGAGTGCGTGGAGGGAAGGACACATGGAAGGGAAGAGGTGGCTATGGGGAGGAAATGGGAAGAGAGCTGTTGCATTGTGGGAAACTGCAGTCAATGTCATGAGAGAAAGTATATATGAACTGCTGTATGGAAAGTGAATTTGCTCTTTAAACTTTCACCCAAATCACAATAAAATTAAAAAGAAAAAAAAAAAGGTAAGTGGATATGAAAGCATCAGATTCATGGTCAACATTATTGCCAAAGAGAGTAAGTTGTCAACAACCATATTAATCCATCTATAGGTCCGATAACCTTGCACTGAAGTCAGACAGAGATGGGTTCACATTCTGGCCTCATATGACTAAGGACAGGCTTCTTAGTCACAGTGGGCCTCAGTTTCCCTATATGTAGAGTGAGAGGATAGGTCTGGACCATTCTTCCTTAATTGCATAAATATTAATTCCACTCTGTACATGTTAGGCTCACAAAAACCAATCGATGCATGACTTGGTGGGTAAGAATCTCTTTGGATTGTGATTAAAATGACAGATTCCAAGACTCTACTTTTGGAGGTTGTGACTCATTCAGTTTAGTGGTCACCCAGACTGGGAAACTGCTGGATGAGCCAAAGGCCCACCCACTCTGTCAGATTCTCCCAGTCAGACATCAATGACTTCCCTCTGGCTCAGGATGGAAAGGATGGACACTTACTCCAATGAGGCTGCCATTGCACAGACCCTCTTCAGGAGCTACCTTCATAGCCATTGGTATGGCCCAGTTTCCCCATTTTACTGGTAGACAACCAAATGCTAGAGATGCCAAGGCCACACAGTAGCTGGGTCCAGAGTTCTAGTAGTACTTGTAGTCTTCCCATGTCTCCCCAATGGGACTCTTGGTCTCATCACTTTTCTTACTCACTAGATTGCCTCCTTGATGGCACATAACAACAACAACAACAACAACAGATTGCCTCCTAGGATTCTCAACTGCATCCAAAAATCAGACCCTTCCTCACCAGCCTGTGGGCTCCATGAGGGTAGGTGACATATCGACCTTAATCACTGCTGTGTCTACGGTCTCCTGGCCCAGGACAGACACTCAGCAAGTATTTCTGAATGAACAGAGGAGTGAAGGAGTGACACTTCAATGGGAGGTTCTGAGGGTGATGCCCCAAAGTAGGGACAGAGTGGTGGAGACCTAGTGCATACGTAGGTAGACAGGCTCTGGGGTCTTATAGACCTGGATTTGAATCTCACTTGCTATCTGAGAGCTTTGGACACATTATTTCATCTTCCTGAGCTTCTGGTAGAGGTCCTTGTGCTTGACTAATCAGGAGGTTGGTGGTTTGAACCTACCCAGTGGCACTATGGAAGAAAGGCCTGGGAATCTGCTCCCATAAAGATTACAGCCAAGAAAACCCTATGGAGTTCAGTTCTACTCTGTAACACGAGGTCACCATCAGCTGGAATAGACTCAATGGGTTTGGTTTTTGGTTTGAGCGTCAGTCTCCTCATGAGGAGAATGGGAATCAGAACACTCAGTGTATTGTGTTTTTGTTTTGACCAAGTATCAGAATATATGGCCAGTGCTTCACACAGGTGCTGGCACTTAGGAAGAAGGCGGTCCTAAATGTCAACTGCTGCTGTGAGAATCATTACCATCCTTGTTATGCTTGTCTGGACCCGGGTTTCTTTTCATCCTTGTTAAAAGGAATCGGCCACAGAGCTCCTTCATCCCTTCTCTGTGCTTGTCACTGACGCTGTCAGCCATCCTTGTCAATCACCAACACTGTCCTCCTACAGCCCACCCCGTGTGCAGGCATCCCTGGGTGTTAGGAGAGGGAGCCTGCCCCTCAGAAAGATGGGATCCCTGGTGAATTTTATGTCCTCTTTGCTTAGATCTATCTCCTCGAGGGTCTACAAGAAACATGTATTACCCATGTAACAAGAGAAAAGAAAACCCAAAGGAAAAGAAAGGAAAAGGGGCATATAGGGGCACGGCCCTCACTGCTGCCCTGTTCCTGCTCTGGAGGGGGCTGAGGAAGGACTGCATTCCCTTTGGTTTCCTTTTTTTACCAGCTACCTGTTATCATTATTTATAATTCTTCACCCACGTTCAGCATTTTTTCATGCTCCCGACATGCTGTGTGAAACTGCATGAGAACTTTGTAAAACCACTTCCTAAGGAAGGCAGGAATAACTGACCCATTTAGCAGATGTGAAAACTGAAGCCTAGAGTGGGTAAGTCAATTGCACAACTGGTAAGGAAAAGAAAGGGGTTCAACCTCAGGCATTTGGGTGTCAAATCCAGTGTTCCTTCCTCTTTACAATGTGGATGGGTCAGGTGGGAGGAGGGGGGCAATAAGGTGGGGGAGAAGCACATCCTAGCAAGGCCATAGGGAGGGGATCAGCAGAGATAGAAAAGGGGGTCAAGGTCATGGCTGGAAAGCTGCTTAGGAGCTGTGGGTTTTGGGGAGTGCTGGAGATGGCTCCCATTCCATCCCTGGTCTGTAGCATCCTGGGAGGGGTAAGTCATAGCACCTTGGACCGCCCTCCCCCCATGCCATACCAGTTTCTCCGCCTCCCAGGTGTCCACGACTACCAGCGTAGTGTCCTCCCCATCCACCGTCAGGGTCCTTTCGTACACGTCTTCTGCAAGTGAGGGAGGAGCCGGATCTCAGGGAGGAGGCCTGGGGAGAAAGCTCCCCTGCCTGATGGGAAGCTCCACCAGGAGCCCATGTCTCCCCAGCTGCCAGCACAGTACCTGGCACATAGTAGGCACTTAGAAAGCTTTCGTGGGCTTGCTTGAGTAAGTGTGGGGTGGTGGGGTTAAAGCTGGGTTGGCAGTTCTCCCAGGCCTGCTCTGGCCCTGACACTGTGCTTTATAGGCAGATTACATTACCTTCTCTGGGCCTCAGTGCCTCCCTTTGTAATGCACACAGGTGTCCATGTGCACACTTCTCATGGCTTCTCACTCTCAGAAGGGTCAAGTCTGGACAAAGGGCCTGGCTGGGGTGTCTCCACCTTCTTTCTCTCTGCTCTTAAATGTTCCCCTCCCCACCCACCTGATGCCCTCTAAGCCAGCTCTACAGGAGCCCATCTTCATTTCCTTAGTCAGGTCCCTGTACCCTGTCACCTCTCAGCTCATTCTTGGGAATAAAGGAACATAGGGCCCAGAACTTGGAGTCTGGGAGCTTCCATTGTGAGCAGGATCTTACTCTTGCTGCAGGCCGTGGTGGCCAGGGATAGGTGGTGGGAAATGGGGCTGGGAGTTTCTGAGCTGGGCAGAAGTCCACCATTCCCTGACACTCAAGAGACTCGTGGAACTCAGTATTGCTCCCTTTGTGACAGGGAAATAATATGCCTGTTATGCACAGGAAATTGGTAAACTCCTCCCTCACTATTCCAGGACTTCCCCTCCCCTGGACCACTGTGCACGCAGGCTGTGCTCTGTGCAACTCTTGGGATCACCACTCACTTCATAAAATATGTGATTGATGCCCCTTAGTGCAAGAGCTCTGGTGGCCTAGTGCCTAAGGCATTTCACTGCTAACCAGAAGGTTGGTAGGTCAAACCCACCAGCCACTCCCCAGAAGGGCCATCTACTTCCGTAAAGATTTACTGCCTGGGAAACTCCATGTGGGTCGCCATGATCTGATATCAACTCGGCGGTGGGTATGGTTTGGTTTGGCCCCTTAGTGCACGGCTCGTGCATCTGTGCAATGCATGATTTATTCAGCTGTTCTTGACAGCCCTGTGCCCTGGTGGCAGGGCTGTCCCTCCTTTGGCCCCACCCCAGCCCAGCTCACAGGTCCCCTACCTCCCAGGTGTTCGTGGAGGTCCCGCTCTTGCTTCCCTGCAAAGAGGCTGGCCAGGCTGGTCTTCCCTACACCAGGATCTCCGAGCAGCACCACACGGTAGAACGCTTCCCAGGAGGTTTCGGAGTCGCTGGATTCTGAGGACCAACTATTGGGGGCAGGTGAAGGGGTCCGTGCAGGAGGGTTCAGGGAGGCTGACTGGCCCAGCCGAGGATGCTGGGTTTCTGTGGAGGGCTCTGTGCACAGGAGGCCAGGCTGGTGGCCCCGGGGAGACAGGGGCAGCGGGGTGCTGGCTCTGCGACGCTGGGGGCTCTTAGCTTCCTGCTGGGTGTTTAATGTCATCCTGTGCGTGGGGGGTGCTTTGTTCTTTCCTTCCTTCCTTCCTTTCTTTTGCCAGCAAGGAGGAACGACGGATGAGCCAGGTGCCTGAGCCCCCTCCCTGGTAGGGTTCTGGTAAGCTTCCGGGACTGCTGCCTCCAGAGCCCCCTCTGTTCAAACGGGAAGAGGGGCCACCTCAGCTCCTTGTGGTGGGGTTTTCTGGCTTCAGGCCCAGGGAAAACCTGGGTCAGGCCCAGAGGGGTGAGGCCACAAGTTGTGAAGACACACATTTGTATGCACTCAGAGGCCAATTCCCATGCCTTGGGGATGATCCACCCCTGGATGACACGCAGACAGGCAGCAGCCAGGTGGGATGTGTGTACACACACACACACACACACATACATAGGGTACACAGAACCTCTCTCTCCCACTCATGACACTCACAACTGGCAGGTGCCCCAGGCCTGCTGAAAGACTCCGTTGCCTTGAATTACCCCCATCTTCCCCTTCCCCAGCGGTCTCTTCCACATGATGCCCATAGGGCTGGGGGTTTGGGGAGGGGAGATGGTGGGTGGTGGGTGAGGAGAGTAGGTGGTGGTTCGCTTCTGCTGCCCGATCCCACGCGGGCAGAGGAGGAGGCAGGGCGGGGTGGGTTGGTACCCCAGAGGGATAGGGGCCTGGGGGCTCCCTCTGGCTGTAACTCGAGCGCCCTGATGCCATGGGAACGGCGTGCCCGGCCCGCCCCCTGCGTGAAAAATTCAGGAGCGGCTGGAGCTACGGCCTGCAGCTGCTGTCGGGGGGCTGGGGTGCGAGCGGGTCGGGCCCCATGTTTGGCGACAGGACAGGGTCCTGGGTGTGTGTGTGAGGGAGCCCATGGGATCCGGGGACAAATGTGCCATTCCTGGAGTTTGGATCCGCTCTTCCCCAGCCAGAGGGTCCTGGTGTGAAGCCCCGATCTCGGGGGTTCCTTGTTCAAGATTACTCAACCCTCGGGGCTCCAGGTCCAAGGACTTTCAACCCCTGGGCGCGGGTTCGGGGCCACCGTTGCTCCTGACAGCCCGGAAGCTCCCTAGTGCAAGCACCTGGACAACTCACTTCAATTCGACTAACTTGGCAGCAGGTTGCGCGGGGCTTTACCTGGGCGTGGGGAGGGGTCCAGGGTCCCGGGCCGCCACCGCTGCAGCTTGCTCCTGGCTGTACCACCCGCCTCGGCGCACGGCCCCTCAGGCCTGTCCGGCCTCGCTGCTCCGGCCGGGGGAGGAGCCACCACCCCGGCCCGGCCAGCCCCGCCCATTAGGACAGCCCCGGGGTCTCCGCCCCAAGGCCTTGGCCACTCATTGACTTTTCTCAGAGTGCAGAGCTCAGCTGACCCGTGTCAAGTCTGATTTCCGGGCGGCGGGTGAGAGAGAAGAAGGATGGGGCTCCGAATTCCTGGGTCTAGGCCCCCCTCTGCATCCCGCATCTATCCACTCCATCACTGGTTCCGCACTCCCTTTTACCCTCATAATAACCACAGGGGCAACTTGCTGAATGCTCGGATTATCAGGTGCCACTCTCAAGGGGCGGATTCAGCAGTTCTGGAGCCCGGCTTTCAGCAATCTCCACCTTAAACAAGTGCCTCAAGTGGCAGTTTGTGGACCTACTTTGAAAAATTCCGCTCCGGATGGAGAATTACTTTGGGAATTAGCCTGGGGAAGGAGGGAGCTCAGGAAGTTTGCACTAAAGAGTTCTGAATATCTTATTTTGGAGTCATTCATTAATTCACCAAATACCCTCATAAAGGTAACTCACTGCCGTCGAGTGTTTTTCTACTCATAGCAACCCCTCCTTGGGTTTCCGAGGCGCTATCACTACGGAAGTAGATTGCCCCACCTGCCTTCCGAAGAGTGGCTGGCGGGTTTGAACCGCCAGCCTTCCGGTTACGCCTTAGGCACTATGCCACCAGAGCTCCTCTATAAGGGTAAGCACCAGTCATGTCCCCAGGGCTTTCCTGTGCTCTGCAAGACTGGCTGCCTCCTCTCGATGACTATTGCCTAGCACTTGCCCTGTGCCTGGCACGGTCCTGAGCAATTTGCCTGGACTGATAGCTCATTTGCTCTTCACACAAAGCTAAGAAGATGAGCAAGATGGGTTTAGTGGGTCCAGGGACTCAGGTCTTTTCCTCCAGGCCAGCCTTCCCTTCCCATCACAGTCCATGGCCTCTGATCTTCCCAGGTGCGTGGGAGGAGGAAAGAGACACTGTGATCTTGGTGTGGAGGAGAAGTGGCTGTAGGGACCTGATGATGTGGGCTACGGGTGGCACTAGGATCCTTGCTCTTTGGGTAGGAGGAGGGAACTCCTTTTAGGCCTTGAGGGATTGGGACACACATGTGTGTGGGACCCATGGAGACCAGGCTGTACCTGTAGGTGAGGCTCATTGGTCATGGCTGAGGGGGTCCAGGTGTCTAGCTGGGAACAACTCCCACAGCAGCCTGGCAGACTGGCTTGGCCCCCGCAGGGCTCAGGGCAAATGCCTGACCTCCTCATGCCTGATTTCCATCCTGGCCCACTGCTCTGAGCTTCCTAACCCCCCTGCAAGATGGGCTGTGAGCAGAGTAGCACCATTCATTGTGAGCAAGGTGACTTGGCTTCAAGTCCCTGTTCTGCAAGTCGGTTGCTGTTTGGCTCTGGACAAGTCACCTCCTCTCTTTGTGTATCTGTATTTGAAATCCACATCTGAACAGGTTACAACTTGACTTTTCTACAACCTCAGAGTTCAAACTTGGCGTTTATGCTCTGGCTCCTTCTATCTTTCACAGGGTCATTTCAGCTGCTCCTCTCAACAGATCCATTACTTTGGCTGTGCCTCACTCTTCCAGGCGCATTCTGGTCCTTCTGCCTGGAATGCCCTTTCACCTTTGTATCTTTGCCAGTGTAACTCAGATGCCTGTGTACCAGGCACTGGTCTAAACTCTGTACATATATGATCTCCATGTTTCTCAGGCTTTAGCAATGCATCAGAACTGCCTGGAAGGCTTTTAAACAAACCTTGCTGTGATAGCTCTGGTGGCATAATGCCTAAGGCATTTAACTGCCAACCAGAAGGCTGGAGGTTCTAAACCCACCAGCCCACTCCTTGGAAGGAAGAGTGGGCAATCTACTTCCGTAGACATACAGGCTCAGAAACCCAAGGAGGGGTCACTATGAGTTGGAACATACTTGATGGCATTGAGTTTTTTTTTTTTTTTTGGGGGGGGAGTTTTGCTGGGATAGGCAGGTCATCAGAGCTTCTGAATCAATAGGTTTGGGTTGGGGCTAGAGAATTTACATTTCTACCAAGTTCCAGGTGTTACTGATGGTGCTCATCTGGGAACATATTTTGAGAACCACATTTCATTTAAACCTCTAAGCAGTCCTACAAGGTAGGTACTATTACTACCCTCTCTTCAGAGTAGACCTAAATACAGGCTTGTTTGAATGGGTTATTGTGTCTGGTCTTGGCTCCTTGACATCAGGAAGGGAAACTTCCATTTACTGAGCTTTGCACGGAGAGATTGTGGCCTTCACTTCATAGATGACATCCTGGGGCTCAGAGAGGTTAAGCTACTTGCCTAAGGTCTCACAGCAATTAGGAGGAGATACTGAGATTGACTTAGATCTCTCTGAACTAAAAAAAAACCAGACTCCCTGCTGTCGAGTCAGAGCCAACTCCTAGTGACCTCTCCTTGGGTTTCCGAGGTGGTATCAGTACAGAAGTAGATTGCCCAGTCTTCCTTCCAAGGAGTGGCTGGTGGGTTTGAACCGCCAGCCTTCTGGTCAGCAGTCAAATACCTTAGGCACTATGCCACCAGATCTCTCTGGAGCCAAAGCTTTTTCCACCCTCCCAGGTGGAGAAGAGGTCCAGTTTCTGACCCCTGGTATTGCCTCAGGAAATTCTACCCCCAGCTTCAGAGCTCAGTAACCTCCCCAAGGGTGTGGTTGACTAGCTCTTCAATGCTGGCTAGGATCCAGCTACTGAGTTGGTACCACACCAGCTCAGACTCCCGCTTAGGTCTACTGCCCACCGCCTTCCTTTGATCTGCAGCCCAATAAAGGCTGGGTGGCAGACAGCAGAGCTCAGCACACTCCGTTAGTCACTGTGTTCTTCCCAGCGGCCTCCCCCTGTGCCCTGTGGCCATGACACAGCTGCTTCTGCTCACTGTGGCTCTCCTGGTCCTGAGTCATGTGCCGCCAGGTAACATCACCTGTGTGAGTGTGTGTGTGTAGTAATGAGGAATAGGCTCCCAGGTTCTGGAAGACAAAGGGGCCTGGACCAGTGTTTAAGCTCTGGCCCCACCTCTGACTTGCTGGGTGGCTTAGAGCAAATGGCTCCATGAGCCTGAGCCTCTGTTTCTTAATCTGTAAAATGGGATTCACTCAACAAAGAATCCATTATAACACTGGTTGGGTGCCCTGCTTGAGTGAGTGTTACAAAAATATTTACTACACGACTGGCACTGTTTCAATTGCTGGGGATCCAACAAAGGAAGAAAACGAAGTGCTTTCATGGAGCTGGCTTTTTGGATGGTGGAGACAGAAAATAAACAGATAAACACGTATAAGGTGGTGATAAGTGTTAAGAAGAAATAAAAGCAGGGCAAGGGGGTAGAGTGGCCTGTGCCTATGGGGGTTGATAGGGGTCTGGATGGGTGCTGTAAAGTAAGGCCTTGAAAAAGGAAAATTTGGAAAATTTCAAACATACATGAAAATAGAGGGAATAATATAATGAAAAGGTGAGTTTTTTTTTTTTTTTTTAACTTTATTATGGAAATATTTAAACCTATGCAAAAATGGAGATTAATGTAAAGAAGTATGTTTTTAAAAGAAACCTTTGTATTTTAGAGTGCTTCAAACATAAATGAAACTAGAAGGTAGAGTGTAAGGATATCCCCAACTTCAACAATTATCCACTTGGATCAATCCTGTTTCATTACTCACTGCCCCTCCTGCCTCCAGTGAATTATTTTGAAGTAAATCCTAGATGTCTTATTTTACATAAGGTGGGTGGGAGCAGAGATCTGAGTAACGTGAAGATAGT